TTGGATGGAGGAACAAACTTGACCGTTGGAGTATATAAAAGATCAAGGGAAAAAAAATCAAAGCTTAAAAACAATTAAAAAGAAAAGAAAAAGGAAAGGAAAGGAAGGCTAGAAGTCAAGAAATTTTTGGAGTTCTTCAGCTACATGGGTGCCAGGTGTATAAGCACCATCTGCAAAGATCATGCCAAGAAATTCAATTTTTTTTGGTAGATGAGCATCTTGGTTTCAGAAAGCATGATACCATGATGATGAACGAGCTCTACAAATTGCTTTAACAATGCAGCATGTGACTCCTTGTCTTTTGAGAAAAGTAATACATCATTGATATAGATTAAAGCTGATTGAAGCAAGGGTTCAAATACTTTAATCATGGCCTTTTGAAATAATGAGGGTGTCACTTTGAGACCAAAAGGCATGACTTGCCATTGATAATGATGGTCTGGTATTCAGAAACCTGTTTTGTATCTATCTTCAGGATGAATGCCAAGTTGTCAAAAACCAGCTTTAAGATTAAACTTGAAGAACACTTTGGCATTGTGAAGGCATGAAAATAATGTCATTGTATTTGGCAAAGGAAACTTATCATCTTGTAAAAAATAATTCAAGGGTTGATAATTAATTACTAATTTGAGTTTGCCTTGTTTTTGTTCAGATATTTTATTAACATAAAAGGCTTCACAGGAAGCTTGCCTTGTTTTTGTTCAGACATTTTATTAACATAAAAGGCTTCACAGGACCATGGTGAGTCTGTAGGTTCAATTAATCCTTAGGGCTATAATTGAGCACATTCCTCTTGAGCTAGCATTTTGTGCTCATAATTCATTTCGGAGTGACTATGACCTCTTCTTCTCTATCTTTACCTCCTCACTCTTCTTTTCTTGCTTCTTCCTCCTTCTATATTCCCCCTTCCCCTTTTATTTGCCAATCTACATCTAATAAGCTTGCCTATCTCTATGAGGTTAATCTTTTAGATGATACACAAAAAAATTATTGAAACAAACCTTCCTCTAGTAAATTCTTATCATGTTTTTGTCAAAAAGTCACCTTCTATTATCCGTAGTATTAAAATTCTCATCAAACAACCTTCTCGTATGGCAAAGGAATAAGTTCAAGCTTCCTTTTTTGATCAACATAAGATTCCTGCTACTTCTTGAGAATAATTTGTTACTCTTAAAATTCCATTTGAATTTCCAGGCTAGTGGATTTCTCAAGGATATACACATATTCATTTTGGTGCTATTCGCCTAGCCTTGTCTTATCATGGCCGTAAGGGCTTACTTGTCGCAGTAAGATTAGCTCTTCTAAATACCCGATATCTAAAGTATCAACATGCATGCATTGGATCTCTTGAAACCATGTTTAATTGTGTCACAATAATTGTTACTTTCTATCCCAACTTCAATATGGCTTTGGATGATCCTCAAACTCTATCACTTTTTAAAAGTTCAACTACATATCACTGGTGCTAATCAAGTTTTAGACACCTACCAAGCTACTCTTCATTATCAAATGGCTTATCAGGTCTAAAATCATGCCTTTGATTTAGTACTCCCTGTTACCAATAACGCTTTGCTCATCACTGTTGATACTAATCAAAGAGCCATTTGTACCCATGTTTCACAATAAATCCCAAAAAAGAACTTACAAAAGTTATTTCCCTCTTCTTGAATTACCAATTATGAAAAACTGCATCAAAGCTCTATCCCTATACAATCCATGAAACCTGAGTTTACCAAAAAAGTTGATGGTACTGTAGAAATCATCTTCTATAAGGGAGAATCTTCCACTTCTCCCCTAAAAAAGTTGATGGTGCAAACTAATCTAAAAAGGATGACACTTGTTGCAGCAAGATTAGCTTTTCTAAATACCCGATATCTAGAGTATCAACATGCATGCATTGGATCTCTTGAAACCATGTTTAATTGTGTCACAGTAATTGTTACTTTCTATCCCAACTTCAATATGGCTTTGGATGATCCTCAAACTCTATCACTTTTTAAAAGTTCAACTACATATCACTGGTGCTAATCAAGTTTTAGACACCTACCAAGCTACTCTTCATTATCAAATGGCTTATCAGGTCCAAAATCATGCCTTTGATTTAGTACTCCCTGTTACCAATAACGCTTTGCTCATCACTGTTGATACTAATCAAAGAGCCATTTGTACCCATATTTCACGATAAATCCCAAAAAAGAACTTACAAAAGTTATTTCCCTCTTCTTGAATTACCAATTATGAAAAACTGCATCAAAGCTCTATCCCTATACAATCCACAGAACCTGAGTTTACCAAAAAAGTTGATGGCACTGTAGAAATCATCTTCTAGAAGGGAGAATCTTCCACTTCTCCCCCAAGAATTTTTTTTTCTCCATCTCGATGGTGCAACCAGTTCCAGATTCTCTTTCAGTACCTATCGAGTCCTTCTCTAAAGATGGCCTCCCCATTTATTTTTTTACTTAGGACAACCATTTTTTTGGGACACTTGTCATTGTGACAATTGTTGTAATAAAGCCATGGAAGATGACTCCCCCAAGCATAAAATGAAATCTTCTAGTAAAAAGCTGAAAGCCAAATACAATCAATGAGATAGAATAATTGACACCTTGGGACAACCCTCTGGAAAATTTGACTATCTTGTCAAATATACTCCTCCTTTTTGGTCATCTCCAGACCAAGTCCCCATAATTATCATGTATCAATCTACCAGACCTTATGATGATGATTTTCCTGCTTTACAAGAATAAGTCAAAGATAGAGTTCGTACTCTTCCCCAAGTTCACAATCCTCAAGCCGTTAATGCTGATGATTGCCCTAAACAAGTTACCCAAGTTGAAGCTGTTCTCAATTGGCAAAGTCAAAATGTCATTGCTTAAAATTCTGTTCTTCATCGCAATAAATCTAAGGTTGACATGGTGCAAACTAATCTAAAAAGGATGACAGTTTCTGTTGATTCTCGGATTTTACATCCTGACCAATTGTGTGCTGAAATTCAACAAAGGATCTCCACCATTCATGAGTGTCTACTCATTCAAGCTTTTACTGGCAGATATGTAGACCCTCAGAAAGAATAAGAAATTCAGTCTCTCAAAATACAACTAAAGTCTTTTTAGACCGAATTAGCCAAATCCAAATCCAAGCCTTTACCATTTCCTGAACCTTCATAGACTAGGATGACCTCCTATTACCTAGACCCTTATTAGGCTAAACATTCTCCTTCTTACAACCCCCAACCTCCACCTCCCAAACCTCAATTATTTGAAAATCCAGATACCGAAAAAATTTTCAAACCTCTCTCTAAACATGATAAAGGGAAAACCCAAAGACCAACTTTTTCCAAAAAACCTAGATCACCAGCCCTTATCATCTCCTCATCCTTTGATTCTTTTGAATCTAAAAAGTATGAACCAAATGACCCTTTCCAAAACTCTCAGGGCCCTTATCAACTTATGATTCAGTCAAACCAACCTTCTAACCCTATCCAGTCCTTTTTTACTACTTATTCCCACCAGACTATTCCTAAAATCCTAACTCATGAACCCATTGTTAATACATCTGGAAAAGAGACTCCTGATGATGATACTCTTGTAACTTCTGAAGCATATTTTACTAAAGATGATTGTTCTGACACTTGTTCCATGCTACCATTATTAATGACTGATCCTCTTCTAGTACATTCATTAGATCCTCAATCTTCCCGGACTCAGTAAGAGCCTCCTCCAACTTCTACCACAAGAGTTAGTGTAGATGAACCAGTTAGCAGTGATGATGAAGTAAATCTTAATCCTCGCCATTATCAACCTCATTTTCATTCTCTAAATACCGGTGGATATTTTACTCCAGATGATATTCCACGAGTAAAATGGTGAGACAAAATCCTTGAATTTCATTCATGGCTAACTGCTTATATGCTTAAGGACGACGCAACCCTTAGGGATGCATTACAACAATTCTCTGCAAAGTTTTCTGGCACCTTATAAGATTGGTTCCGTGCCTTAGGTGATTATCGACAAATACAATTTGTGAACAATACATCTTTTTTTGAAGCTTTGGGCTGACTCCATTATGAATTCCTTGGAGAAACTCTTCAAGTGACACAATTATAATTTTAAATCCTACATGTATTCACGAATAATGCCTAACTCAGATAAAGATGACATTAATATTGAATTTTTTTAGTTGTTTTATAGATGATTCAGTTTAAGTGTAGCTTTTTTTCTTTTTTTAGTTTGTATACATGCATGGTTCTTTTACACTCAACCTTCCAACCCTATCTAGTCTTTACTTGCTACTTGTTCCCACCAGACTATTTCTAAAATCCTAACTCATGAACCCTTGTTCATTCATCTAAAGAAGAGACTCCTGATGATGTCACTCTTGTAACTTCTGAAGTATATTTTACTAAAGATGATTCTTCTGACACTTGTTCCATGAATTATGCTTCATGCTTGCAAACGACCAGATCTGCTGATTAAATGCTCCGACAATGTTGATTGCAATTGTTCCCTAAAAAAGAAGAAGCATTTCAAGAAACTCCACAGATCTTCTTTTACTAGTCGCTAGAAGAAATAGAAGTTCCTCAGACAACGCCGCACTTGACGCCCCAAGCATTTCACTCCCAGCTCTAATTGATGCTTCATTTGTAAGTGCAAGGGTCACTTTGCAAAAACTTGTCCACAAAAAAAGGCCTAGTCACTGAAGTTCAACCCTGATGCTGATGAAGTTGAATCCCTATCCTCCCTCATGGATGAGCTCATTCATGATACCATAGCTGCTATTGCAAATGAAAGTTCTGATGATGAGATCTATGAATGATCGACAAATATAATTTATGAACAGTACATCTTTTTTTGAAGCTTTGGGCTGGCTCCATTATGAATTCCTTGGAGAAACTCTAAATGATAAAGAAATAGCACAGTACGAGTACTTCAAGATGAAGTATTGTTTTTATTTAAGATCTGATCTTGGAAGACATTTTAAAGAAATGTGCCGACGATACCATATTCTCTCTGGTCCTGATGATCCAAGCCTTAAGCATGCCTTTTTGGCATCCATACCTAGGGATCTGGCTGATGAAATGTTCAGATTATTCAAAATCAGAAAATAAATTATTGATAACTAATCTCTTGGCACTATCTTTCACCAGGTGTTGGAAGCCCTCAACAAAATATGTGATCAACATAAATATTTTACTAAGTTATTACAGCCTGATAAAACTATGCTCTCTACTTGCAAATGACCAGATTTGCTGATTAAATGCTTAGATAATGCTGATTGTAATTGTTCCTTGAAAAAAAAAAGCATTTCAAGAAAATCCACGTATCTTCTTTTAATGGTCGCCAGAACAAATGGAAGTTCCTCAGACGACGCCACACTAGACACCCTAAGCATTTAAAAACATCAATCCCAAAAAAGCCAGTCACCCCGGAATGAATCCTAAGCACAAGATGCTAGCTTCTGTAAGTGTAAGGGTCACTTTGCAAAAACCTGTCCACAAAAAAAGGTCTAGTCACTGAAGTTCAACACTGATACTGATGAAGTTGAATCCCTATCGTCCCTCACGGATGAGCTCATTCATGATACCATAACTACTATTGCAGATGAAAGTTCTGATGATGAGATCTATGAATCTTACCAAGCCCAACCTACCAGTTCCCTTCACACCCAATACCTTTAGTCCCTGTTACTATTCTTACATCCATATATGCTAAGCCCATCAAAGCCATAACTTTATTTGATATAGGAGCCCACATAACCATTCTTAACCCTAATGTTCTTCCCCCTCATTGTTGGGTCACCCATAAAGCATACTTCCGGCCCGCCGACAATCAAGTTTTCTGCACCCAATTCAAAACTAAAAGACCCATTACCATATAAATCCTACTATAATGTTTTGTCAAAACCGATATTCTTAGTTCTTCTTTACCTATAAAGGATTTAGTTATTGGGTTTGATGTTTATTTCAAATCTAAATTCAGAATCCTTTCTTGTGGTATTCAGTATGAAGCCCATTTTCTTCCATATACAATTACCCCTTCACTCTATGAACTCCAACCTTCCCTCATAAACCATATTGCTCTTATTAAATCCCAAATAATCCAACACTCATGTTCAAACTCTTATCAGGAATTTCTTGCTAAATGTTCTCATCCCTTATAGAAAAATCCATAGTTTTTTATTAGGCTTCCTTTCAAGCTTAATGAAGACAAAGCAAGCTTAGATTATTAATTAATTATCAGCCCTTGAATCATTTTTTACAAGATGATAAGTTCCCCTTGCCAAATACCATGACATTATTTCCATGCCTTCACAATCCCAAAGTGTTCTTCAAGTTTAATCTTAAAGCTGGTTTTTGACAACTTGGCATTCATCTTGAAGATAGATACAAAACAGGTTTCTGCATACCAGACCATCATTATCAATGGTGAGTCATGCCTTTTGGTCTCAAAGTGGCACCGTCGTTATTTCAAAAGGCCATGATTAAAGTATTTGAACCCATGTTTCAATTAATTTTAATCTACATCGATGATGTGTTACTTTTTTAATCTACATCAATGATGTGTTACTTTTCTCAAAAGATGAGGAGTCACATGCTGCGTTATTAAAGCAATTTGCAGAGCTCGTTCACCATCATGGTATCATGCTTTCTGAAACCAAGATGCTCATCTGTAAAAAAAAAATTAAATTTCTTGGCATGATCTTTGTAGATGGTGCTTATACACCTGACACCCATATAGCTGAAGAACTCCAAAAATTTCCTGATGGCCCCCTCACAAGAAAGCAAGTCCAACAATCTTTGGGCATTATCCAATACCTCAAAAATTTTATCCCCCGAGTTGCCCAGATGACAAGGCCACTTCAACTCATGCTAAAAAAATATGCAGACCCTTGGACATAAAAGTAGACACAAGCAATCAGACAATTAGTTATTCCATCCACAGGACAACGTATCCTCCAAACTGATGCTAGTGACAAGTATTGGAGTGTTGTACTCCTTGAAGATAAACATGGCCACCGACATATATGTGGCTACAAAAGTGGGTCCTTCAAGGAATTATAAACCCACTACCACTCCACTTTCAAAGAAATCTTAGCTGTAAAGTATGGCATCCAAAAATCCAAGTTCCACCTAGCAGCCTATCACTTTACAGTAATCATGGATTGTTTCTCTTTTCCAAAAATGCTATAGTTCAAAGGCAAGATGCTTCTTCATCCATAGCTTCTGAGATTAGCAGAGTGGTTTTCCAAGTACATTTTCACCGTCGATCATATAAAAGGCACCAAGAACTTGATCCCATACATATTCACCAGACCTCCTAAATCACAAACACTCCTCCTTCCCTTGATTTTCATGGCCTCCTCTTCTAATCCAGCTCCACCTAAGCAAGACTTTCCCACAGATGATTTACCCCCTCTTGCTTTATAAATGATTCTTAACCACACTCTTAACCTACAAGCCAAAGACAAACTATTTAGCCTCCAAGATTACCTTCTTCTTAATTATGATATGTCTTTCCTTTATTTTCAAAGCTTAAGCATCCATCCCAAATATCTTTTTATCCACCTCTTCACCTTCAAACCTTCTAGCTTATTCCCCAAAGAACTCTACTTTTTCTTATGGTACCTCTGTGACCTATACCATATTGTTATTGAGTTTTCTACTGATTGCTTTCTTTCCAGCCTTCTTTGGACTTCTTGGCCAGCGGACTCTTGGTATTATATTTTGAAATTTCTCGCTTGGTTCCACAGCCCTACACAATGGATCTCCTTTCTCCAATATGAAAAATCCCAATGGCCTCATCCATAAACTTGTTGGATTGAAGTATATCGGAATGCATATCAAAATAAGTTTGTTAAGCAAGCTTTTGCTCATTTGTTCTCTATTTTCATATTCCACGGGCCTTTCAAAGCTTCAACAAACAATCTGGTTATAAGTTTTCCACAAGCTACCTTCTACAAAATGCATCCATACTCCCTATATAAACACCCTCTAGAAAACCTCCCGGAACTCAGGACCATGCAAAAAACAGTATGCCTCAAGAACAATATTATTCCTGATGAAATATGGCCTAAAGGAACAAATCCTGATGAAGAACTTGACTATGATTTTTATGACCCTGAATATTTTGTTTATCTCCATGACTTACGAATGCAGTAGAAAAATAAAAAACTCAAGCAAATAATTTTAGGCATCCCAATGCTTTTAGAACCACATGAGCTAAAAATGGTTGCAAATGATAACTATGTGTTGGCCGTACAAGTCCAAACTACTCGAGATCAGGATGACTTATCATATCAGAATCTCTCTCCAGATTATGAACCTATTGTTAGTTGATATTAGTATTATACTAGCTTGTCATTTGTATTTTGTCGTTTGTATTGTGTCGTTTGGGTGTATTATTAAGCATGCTCTAGTACTTTTTTATGTAATGAGTGATGTAAGCAAAAGTCTCAAAAATTAGTATAAATGAAGGTTGTGTGTAATGTTGTAAGGAGAACCTCAGGAAAGTAGACCTCTAAGGTGAAGCCTTTTCAATAAAGAACTTGTTTCTTTAATTCTTTGTTCTTTAAACTCTTTTTTTTTCTTACATTCAAAAACCAGAAGCTTTTGTTATCATCTAATAAGACATGACTTCAGTGAGTTGCTATTGAGTGCCTATAAGTTTGGTAGTGTTAAGTCATTTTGTCAGAGTATTTGTCTTACAATTGTGGTGTGTGCGTGTATAATTGTTAAAACATAAACTTAAGAGATAAAAATTATATGAATTGTTTTAAAATTATTATAAATAATTTATTTTTATCAAATGGAAGAATTGGATCTAGTGCTTGAAAGTTGATTCAAGCTATAATCTCATAAAAGAAAATAAAAATGATTGAGATTATAAATGTTAAAGAAATCAAATTGAAACATTCTGCCTTTTATAATGTATTATGTGTTTAGTTCTATGACTAGAAGTGAACCCTCACTACATATTGGGGTTCGATTTTTTTATATAAAAAATATGTTCAAATGAAAAAAAAATATTTTAAATAAGAAAAAAAATCATGACTTGAATTAAATAAATCAGTTTTATTTTAATTAGATAATTAAAAAATAAACAATGACAACAAATTGACAAAATAAAAAGTGTCTATAATAATGTAATATTTTTAAAAAATAAAAAATAATGTATCTCAATTCATAACCAACTAAATATGAAAGGATAAAATTGAGTTAAAAAGAAAAAAAGGTACAAGTTAACCCGAATTAGCATGACAAACATGTAACTCAGATAATAAGAGTTAAGCCAACCCAGATTAACTCGTAATCAAGGTCATGATATTGGAACATCCCAAAAAAAATAATGAAAGCCAGAGAGAAAACAAGTAAAAAAATAATGTTAATCCACGTTAATTTTTCAAACATGTGACCTGGTTTATTAGACTGGAAGCACCAAATATAGCAAAACCACATAGTTTAATTCTGAACTAATTAAATATTGAAAGATAAAATAAAAAAAAATCTATTATACAAGAGGGTCCAAAACAAAAAAAATAATTAAAAAAATAAAAATAGATATTAAAATAAAAAGTAACTTAGATGAGAATTACATGTTTTGTTAATTGAAGATTGAAAAATCAATTTAATAAAATAACCTAAAAAAGGATCAAATTGAAAAAATAACATATCACAAATTGTGATTGAAAGATAAAATTAAAAACAAATCAAAATTTACAAATTAAAAGAATAAGAACTATAGTTGAAATCTGCATGAATTAGAGGACAACTCTGAAATTTAAATGATCAACATAATAAATTTTGAGAAGATAAGAGCAAAAAGAAAGAAATTATTGTTGTTAACAAACCATATCGCTATCATCACCGCTTATCACTCTAAAAGGAAGATGATACCTTGAAGATTCTATCAACATAGCATAAGAGAATTTTTAGTTATTGTAAATGCTTAACGCAATATAAAGAGATTGTATGCGACTTTTACATGCACGCGCCAGTTATTTTTATTATTTTAATTATATTTATATTTAATAAAATATCAAATTAACTTTCATTTAGCCTGATAATAACTTAAAAAACCAATAGGAAATTATAAAAAATCTCTTGGATGTTAATTTTAAAATTTTTACTTTAAGAGTAATTTAGTCATTATGTCATCCTTTAGAAATGTAAAAAGATAGAATTGTTCCTATTCAATTTAATAATAATCAATAAATATTATGAAAAGACCATGTTGCCCCAAGATAATTCATTAAATTTTTGTGGAAATGGAAAAATTTTGATTAATTGAGTTAACAAGAAACATATTTTGGGTTAAGAAGTTAGGGATTTTATGATATCATATATAAATTTATATCTTTTTTATTAAGGACATTTTTTACAAAAGAAAAATAAACCAAAATAATTTAAAAAATATTTTTCTATTATTTTATATTTTTATTTAAAAAATTAAAAATATATCAACATGAACCCTAAAGAACTGAGGGAATCCTAGATTTTATACATGCAAGGGTAGAGTTGTCAATCGAGTAAAGTTTGGACTCCAAATCTTCTTATCCGTAAGCGTGGAAGCACGGCGGCTTGAAGTTTCGTTTTCAAGCAGTGGCCTGTAATGTAATGTATGGTATGAAAAAGATAATGACGTTAAGGACATTTGGATAATTTAATAATTACAGACTCATACAGCTATACTCGTTGACTAATACCGTCCCTAATTCTCATTTTGTTTGACCTTAATATCACGGTTAATTGTGCGCGCGCGCGCGCGGGGGTGTGTGTATAAACCCGGTTTGTGTGTGTACTTAGGTTAGACTTAGAATTGTGTCCAGCCGACAAAGATTTTATATATATATATATATATATATATATATATAATTAGAAAAAAATATAAAACTCGAGTTATTAATTTAATTAATAATTTTAACAATATATAAATTATAAGGAAAAAAAATTATAAAAAATGACAATGTAAAACTATAAAAAAAAAGAGTAAAAAAGCACCAACTTAAAAAATGAAAAATAAAAGCAAACTACTTAAACTTGATTTAATCTCTAAAATTTTCAACTTGTAAAATCCTGGATCAATTAAATTTTGAAGGAAAAATTATAAAAAAATATTAATGTAAAAACTTGTTAACACAAAAAAATATAGCAATAAAAAAAATAAGAATCAAATTTAATTATAAAAAAATTCATGGAGGATGAAATTATAAATAAATAATTTAAAAAATTATTCTAAACAAAACAAATAGTAATAGAAAAAATGAAGTCAAAATTTGAAAGATTAAAAAAAATAAAAAGGGATGCAATTGAAAAATATTTTTAATTTTATAGATTATTTAAAATAAAAATAATAATAATTAAAAAAATATACACTAAATGTAAAAGAGAATGAAATTGAAGGGCTTGGCCCGAAATCTTTATAGGGTGTGTGCAAAATTTAAAGAGAAAGAGAGAAGAATAAAAAAGAAAAATAAATAATTATTAATGCCAAACTATTAACATATTTTATATACACGCCTCTCCATCGAATTGGAGGTTACCTTCTAAATGCCACTCTAGAAGATGGTGTTTGGTGGTTGAACAACTCTATATATGCTACTTGAAAAGTGTAAGAGTTGTCTACCCACTAATTTATGCATTGCAAGCGCCAACATATTTTTTTAATAATATTTAAGATGATATTAATTATAATAATGACCCTTATGTAACTTTCAAGTTAATAATAAAAACAATGTGAAATAATTAAAAAATTCTTGTGAGAGAATTACATTAATTTTATCTTTAAAAATATCAAAGTAATTACACTAATGCGAAAAGGTTAAAAGGACTATAGTATATTTGAGATATGTATTATATATTTTTTTATTATAAGGTTAAATTGGTAATTTTATTATACAAGAAAAAATAAAATAATTAATCTAACCCCTTAAAATTAAAAAAAAAACATTTGTGTTTGTCTTTAATGTCTAGTTTAGAGTTTTTTTTTCAAAGATAATTTTATAATTATACTATTTTAATGAATATTGTTATAGGTGAACAATAATTTTCTTAGAAGATTTAAAAAAAAATGTCAATAAGGGTAATAATATTCAAAGCACGCACGTTTGGTTGATTTCATGCTTTCTATATTTATTTTTGCTATAAATAGTTTTCTTTTTATATAAAAGTATTAAGATTAATTTTAAGAAAATAAAAAAAAAACAAAGAATACTATATATGAATAAAATTTGAGTAAAACTATTTGTATAAAACACAAATACATAATATGCAAATGTAAATAAAAATTTCATTCAAGCCTCTGCTAAATTTTAATATGATTAGATTAGCATTGTAGTTTATACCAATTCTTTTATTTTAAAGAATTTATTTTGAATTTATATGATAAATATTTAAAGTACAAAAACAAATATAATTTGTTTTTTATTTTTTTGACCAACAAATCCCTTTTAATGTAAGTAGAGTTTGACAAAATATATAAATCATTTCTTCTAAAGTAGTTAAAGATAATATAAGAAAACTATCAAGGGTTTCCGATAAAAATAAAAATCAATTTAATATTTAGGAAAATATAATGTAATTTTATTATTTTTAAATTTTACTTAAATGAGATAAAATAAACAAGCTCATTAAAATAATATATAAGAATATGACTCTATGATAGTATTTAGTTACCATCTCAGGATAATAGAAATATAAATAAAAGAAATAGAGATGACATATTTCTTTATACTTTTTATTTTTAAAATATATAAACTTATTATAATACCAAAGATCTTGCATTATTTAATTGTGAAAATATACTTTATTTAGTAACGCGCATTTGGCTTAAATATCCATTACAACTTGAAATAGAGGAAAAACAAATCATATCTTCTTAGTTCAAGATTATGGTAACATAAAAATAGAAAAAATCATAAGTTAATGACTATGTCATTATAAGCACTAACAAATTATACTAACATATTGACTTGCATTAACAAATTGACTTGCTAGCTTAGGAATTAATTCTAAAACAAAGATAACTGGTTTTCAACATATCCTCCCTTAAATTGCACTTGCTAACAAGTCAGTTTATATTCTTTGTGCCGTGCATTCCTAGCAAATCACGTAGCTTAAGAAATGATTCCAACTTCAAAGGCTTTGTCATGGTGTTTGCCACTTGCTTATTAGTCTCACAATGAATTAATTCCACAACACCTTCTTTTACAAGATCACGTAAAAAATAAAATTTCATACTACGTGTTTGGTTTTTCCATGAAGAATTTGATTTTTTGACAACTTGATAATGGAACTGTTGTTGTAAAAAATCTTAATACACTTGCAGAAAAACAAACCAAGACTATTAAACACTCTTTTCATCTAAATGTTATGACAAACATATGCGGCAGTAGCTACATACTCTATTTCGGTGGTGGAGAGAGTTATCACTGGTTGCTTTCTTAAGCTCTATGCAACTACAACTCCATTTAGAAAAAAAAAAAAAACCAAACATGCTTCTTCTATCCTTTATATTACCAGTATAGTCACTATCAATGTAGACTTTAAGATCATCTTTAGAATTCTTTGCACTTCTTCTATAAAACACTCCTAAGTTTGCAGTTCCCTTCATATATCTGAGAATCCTTTTTGCTACTGCCATCTGGGATGTTTTTGGATCAGTCATGAATTTGCTTAACAAGCAGACAACAAACGCAATGTCAGGTCTAGTAACTGATAGATACACTAAGCTGTCAATTATTTGCTTGAGCAAGGTTGAATTCTGACTGTCTTCTCCACCATCTTTTATTAATTTCGTGCCTGACACGATAGGATTTTTCACTGGATTGTAGCCTCTCATTGCAAATCTTTCTAAAATTTCCCATGTATACTTCATTTGACATAAATATATTCTTTCACAGCTCTGCTGAACTTTTACTCCTAAAAAATATTTTATTTTCCCCAAATCACTCATGTTGAATTCTAGCTTCATTGATTTCTTGAATTTCTCACATAGCTCCACATCATTTCCTGTATGAATTAAATCATCCACATAAAGGCTAATAATTAAGCATTTACCTCTATCTGCATGTTTAATAAACAATGTGTGTTCATGACTGTATTTTTTAAAGCCTTCCTTCAAGAATCCTTTAATTCTACTATACCAGGCTCTTGGAGCATGTTTCAAGCCGTAGAGAGCCTTTTTAAGTCTCAAGACTTTATGCACTTTTCTTTTGCAAACATATCCTTCTAGCTGCTCTACGTAGACCGCTTTCTCTAATTTCACATGAAGAAATGCACTCTTGACATCTGGCTAGAAAACAACCCATCTTTTATGTGCTGCTAGAGCCAAGATCAGTCTTATGGTGTCCTAACGAGCCACAGGTGCAAAAACTTCACTGTAGTCCATCCCATATCTCTGAGTATAACTTTTTACTACTAGGCGTGCTTTGTATTTATCTAGCTCTCCCTTTTCATTCAGCTTTGTTTGAAAAATCCATTTTATACCAATTCTCTTTATCCCTTCTAGTGGAATTACAAGTTCCCGTATCTTATTGTTGTATATAACTTTCATTTCCAAATCCATGACTTTCCACCATTTCTGCTATTTTACTACTTCATCAAAGCATATTGGATCATCATATATGATATGACTAAAAGATTGATGTCTTCTCTCAAGTGCAGGATTGTCGAAGTAATAAATAACCCGGCAAGACTGGGGTCGAACCACAGGAAGGTTAATTGTACAAATTATAAATAACAATAATA